TACATACATACATACATACATACATACATACATACATACATACATACATACATACATACACATACATACGAGATTATCTCTATAAAAAAATTTCATTAATGTGAAAACATAAATTTTTTATCTAATTTATAATTGCAAGTGTTTACACTAATAATTTTATTCATAATAATTTTTAAAAAAAGAAAGAAAATCATTTAATAATTTTAATTAAATAATAATAATAATGATTACAAAAAAATCAATTTACTGTAATATTTATACTGTATATAACTAGTTTTTTTTTGATAATAAATTTAATATTTAATAAAATTAATTTCATAATAACTTGTAAAAGTTAAAATAATTTTTATTTATCATTTGAAAAAACATAAATGTAATTTTTAATTTTTATTAAATTTATTTTTTTGAAAATATAAATATTCAACTAATAATAACATATAATATTAATTATATATATATATAGTAATCATTGTTTATAATAGTAATAAATAATTAATAATATAATAAAAAATATTAATACCTAATTTAGCAAAAAATATAATAAATAGTTTTTAATTAAATTTAATATTTAAAAAAACTACAATAGTATTACTATACCAAATAAATAGATAGTAAAAAAATAAAATATTTAATTAAGTGCACATAAATTTATTAAAAAAAATTATTTAATTAGGAAAACATGTACAACAAAAAATAATACATTTATATTATTTAAATATTCATATTTATTAGACATTAATATTAGATAGTAATTGTACCGCAACTCAAAATATATATATATAAATATTTTTGTTTAAATAAAAATAATTAATATTCAGAAATTTTTTACATTATTTGTTTTAACTATTTTTTTATTCATATAATAAATTGTCTAATCATAAAAATTAACAACAAATATATAAATATATAATATAATTATAATATTAAAAATTATAAAAATTAAATAAATGAATGAATAAGTAAAATAGCTTTAATAAATTATTAAACTTTTTATTTTAGCTTGATAATTTAACCAATTATTATTATAAGCATATTTTTTCAAAAAACTTAAACATAGTTTACATAAAAAAAATTAATTTGAAATAAAAAAACTAATCAAAAACCAGTTGAGAATGCTAGAAAGCATTTCCACACGAATTCCTAATCATAATTAAAAATTAAATTCAGTATGATAAAATAAAATCAACTATAGTTATGTAGGGTATCAAACGATTCAGTATGACAAAATAAACAACTATAGTCATGTGGGGTATCAAATGATTCAGTATTACAAAATAAACTACTATTTTCCTAAAAAATAAGCTTAAAAACGAAAAAAAATCAAAAAAAATTCAAAAAAAAATTCAAAAAAAATTCAAAATTTTTTTTATTAATTTTTTGACACCATTTTCTTCAATTTCCTAAAAAATAAACTTAAAAAAGAAAAAAAAGCAAAAAAAAATGTAGCGGATAGTGGATTCGAACCTATGTCCTCGTGGGACAGACAGACCGACAGACCGACAGACAGACCGACTTATAGAATGCATATACGTATTCCTTTCAGGAATTCGTGAACACAAAAAATAACACAAAATTCAATGCCATATAAAATAACTAAAATAAAGACATACATTATATTATTATATCAAAAATATATATATATATATATATATAAAACAGATTTATTGACATTAATATATATATATATATATAAACTTATAAATTAATACTTAAATACTTAAATCAATAATATATATATATATATATAAAACTATTTTTTTTAAATAAATATATCTAATAACTATACAATTAAAGTATTACATTAAAGTATATTAAACTGGGTATAAAAAAATTTAAGTACATTTACAAATAAATAAATTAAATAAATTTAATGTAGACTATTAAGACAAAACTATAAAAAAAATTTGCGGTTATAATGTAAATATATGCTAGATGATTTATATATATATATATTATTTTATTGTATAAAACTAATCGATAAATTAAATTAGTATTTTATTATTATTATTATTATTATTATTACAGTACAGTATATAGTATTTAGTTTATACTAAATTATTATAATATTAGTAGTATTGATAGACAATAGTGTTTTTAAATACACTGTGTATTATGTATGGTATGTTTAATATATATATATTTGTTTAATTAAAACAAACAATAAATCTAAATATACTAATAGTTTGTATCCGTAACCCTCATAAAACAATTTAATTATAAATAAAATAATTTAATTAATAGTTAAATGGATTTTTCATGGATTAAATATATATATATATACAATAATATATATAAATTTATATATATATATCATTATTATTATTATTTCTCAATATACTATTGATATTTAAACAAATTATTATTATTATATTGAGTATTATAATAATAAATTGCAATTTTTTTTTGTTATTTCTAATAATATATATATATTCATATATATTTGTAGTTGTCTTTAAGTTTAATTTTTTTTAAGGTCACATTGTAGATGAAAAAAATAATAAGAGAGAGAGAAAAAAAAATTATATTATATATATATTAATAATAAAAATAATTTTATTTTATAAAAAAAATATATAAATCTAATGGTATGCATATGTATGTATGTATTGGCCCATCGCGTGCATCACTTTAATGATGTTTCAATAGATAGATAGATAGATAGATAGATAGATAGATAGATAGATAGATAGAKAGAKAGAKAGAGAGAGAGAGAGAGAGAGAGAGAGAGAGAGAGAGAGAGAGAGAGAGAGAGAGAGAGAGAATATATATATAATGAAATTGTATGTAAATATTAAATAAATATATATTTAATATATATATTAAATATATTGATATAAAATTTATATCATAAAATAAAATAAAAACAATAATAATATTTTATTTAATAATATATTTATTTATTTATTTTTTTGTATTATAATTTATATTAAAATTATTATTTTTTTTAAAATACTAATGAATATTCTATAGATACTTATCTATAATATAATTATATATAATATCAATATATTAATCTATATATATATATATATATATACAGTATATACAGTGTATATACTAAATGTTATTGACAATGGCGTCAATTTTATTAACTAATATATCAATATATATATATATATATATATTGAATATATAGTAAAATAATGTATAACTATATAATGTATTTATAATATATATAACATGCGATATATAATAGTAGTATTAAAAAACCGATTCAATACATACATCAGATTCAATGTACTAAAAACTTTTATAATATAAACAATATATAGTATATATATACTGTATATATATTGATATTATATATATATATATATACAGTATATACTGTATGTTATTCCTAAATAACACTAGAGATACCAAATATGAATTAATTCATTGGCTTTTAATTTTAATTTTATAATCTAATCTATTATTTTTTTAAAAAAAATATATTTATTTATTTATTTTAATTAAAAACTGATGATTTTTGTAGCAAGGTCAATTTAGTTACTATGATATATAAATATTATTCATGTAAAATAAACATATATATTGATATTTTTTAATGCAATACAGATACAGTATATATATATATATATATATATATATATCATCTATAGATAAATTTTGTTTATATATATATATAATTATGATATTTGTTTTTTAAATTTTTTAAAATTATAATCATCGTGTTGATAATTGATTTTTAATTAAATACTAATAAATAAAAAACATTTATTTTATAACAGGATCTAAAAAAAACATTTAATAATCTAAAAATTTTATTATTCAAAAAAAAAATATTTATTTTATTATACATTATAACTCTTTTTTTTAAAAAAAAACTAATTAAAAATAATTTTTTTTCTGTACTTTTAAAAATAATTATTATTTTATTTTTTTGGTTACATTTGGCAACTCTAGCAATGAATACACAAATAACAGTGTAATAAACAACAGTTTGCATACACTGTGTGTAATGTTGTGCGCAATACCACTGCATAAACACATATTTTCAGTGCAATCTCTCTCTCTCTCTCTCTCTCTCTCTCTCTCTCTCTCTCTCTCTCTCTCTCTCTCTCTCTCTCTCTCAATGCCTGCAGAAAAAAAAACCATCAAATCATTTACACACACACACACACACACACACACACACACACACACACACACACACACATTACACACACACACACACACACACACACACACACACACACACACACACACACACACACACACACACACACACACACACACACACACACACACACACACACACACACACACACACACACACACACACACACACACACACACACACACACACACACACACACACACACACACACACACACACTAGACATTAGAGATATATCGATGAATATACAGTACATATGTAGTGTATATGTAGTGTTTGAAGTGTAGGGCATAGAGTCTATGGCAATGACTATAACACACACACACACACACACAGTGTATGTATATATATATGTCTATCACTGTGTGTTTGTATGTATTAAATAAAATGATGTTATAATTTATGATTAACTTTAATATATATGTTTTTTTCAAACAAAAATACGTTAAAACCTTTTTTTTATTATTAAATATTATTATAACGACAAACACACTAATAAAATGACATTTTATTGTTTATAACGTTATAATAATAATTGTAATACAAATCCAATAGTAATAATAATAATCAACAAAAAAAAAATTATTACAACAAGTATTACAATATATTATAATAAATATAATAAAAAATTTATTATTTTCCAATAATTATAATATGTTTTAATAATAATTATTATTATCAATAAATATGTAGAAAATTATTATTGTTGTGAATCAGTTTATTATTAATTAATTTTGTAATAATAATAGTTAATAATAATTAATTTTGTTTAGTATTAATAATAATAATAATAATAATATGATATTTGTTTCGTTAATTTGTATCAATAGTTATATTAAAAAAAATTAGTGTTTTTTTGTTGTATTAATAAAATTCAATACTATTTGTAATAATAATAATAATAATAATAATAATAATAATAACGATATGAAAGGCATTACTACTATAGTCGTAGTCATCGGCGGTCTATTACTGGCGTCGGTAGTCGTAGAGGCCATCAATGGCGTCGACGACGACAACAACAACAACAACGCCTCCGCCATTAGCATCACCGAAGGTCATCACTCATCGCCGCCCACAACGCCGTCGCCACCGATAACTCAATGGACACCGACAGCCGATGACCAATTGAACGGCTATTGTCTACTGGACACCAGTGTATCGTGCGGTCATTCCACAGGTATTACCGATCAGAGTATACCGTGTTCGCGGCCACACCGACCGCAACGCTTGAACGATACGGACGCCATTGAATTACTTCGGGAAACTTGTCCCGATTTGGTACCCGTGGACGGCTCGGATCCGCTCCTGTGTTGCGGTTACGATGCCTTGCAAACACTGGCCGAGTCCTATGAATTGCCGAAAGCATTGGGTTTGGGCCGATGTCCGTCGTGTCTATACAATTGGCGTAAAGTTTTCTGCCATTCAACGTGTTCGCCGAAACAGTCGCAGTTTATGCGGRTCACGAAAACTACGGCCGTAACCGCCAGCGAATCATCGGATGAATCATCGGACGATCGCCATAACAACCCGAACCCCAATCAACTACTCGAGCGAGTCGACGAAGTTAGCTATTATATTGGCCGCCAGTACGCCCAGGGTATGTACGAATCGTGTCGCGGGCTGTCGGGTGTGGCACCGGGAACCTACATAATGGACCTGATGTGCGGCAAATGGGGATCGAAAAAGTGTAACGGCTACCGATGGTTGGACTATATGGGTTTGTCCCATGAAAAAGGTGGTCACGCACCGTTTCAGATTAACTACGTGTTTACCGATGCCCAGAGTATGCCGATTACCGACTCAGTAGCCGTAGCCGTCAATGTCAGTCAGTCGATGACGGTATACCCGTTACAGTTGCCTACCGTTTCGTGTGCTCAATCGCCGCCCGGTGTCCTTGAAAAGTGCAGTTGCAGCGAYTGTCAATCGGCCTGCAAACTAGACAATCCACCCGTACTGCCCGTTCGGCCGGCAGCGGTAACCATAATGAATTTGTCGGCCACTACCGGCGCAGCACTGATACTCTACTTGATTATTGCCGTATCGGTGTTTGTCTATTTTGCTATCTATACGCTCAGGAATGATAAAAACAAACGTAAGTGTTTTTACCGATAAATTAATGTTTTTTAATGACCAGATTTTTGGTAATAATAATAATTGATTTTATTTGTATTCATTTATAGTCGACACAAGTAGCGACCGAAGCGAATCTACCGAATCGATGACCGGAACGCCTAACGACCGATCAATGATGAGCGGTAAGAACGGTGGACGCGGCGGCGGCGGTGGTGGTGGTGGCGATGCTATGGAAGCCAAACCGTTACGCTGCGAACTGTCAGTGGACGCGGCCTATCAGCTGAAAGAGAGTCCGCCGCCGAGTCCCGACATTCATATGTGCGCCCAATTGGACATTATTCAGCCGTTCGAGTCGATACATATGGCCAATCTGGCCATCGGTATACGATTGGAGCGATTTTTCGAACAATGGTTCCGCAATTGGGGTACATTTGTTGCCCGCAACCCGTGGATAGTGATCATCAGTTCCCTGTTTATTAGCGGCTATCTAGCACTCGGGGTATTCACCCGCTGGCAGGTGACCACCGATCCCGTCGATCTGTGGGTGCCGGCCGGTAGCGAAGCCCGACGCGATATGGAATACTTTAACAAAAATTTCTGGAAATTCTATCGAATCGAACAGTTGATTATCGAACCGAAATGGCGGTCAGATGTTGGCGGTGACCACTATTTTAATGCTACTGTCGATGCGGACGACGAATCGGTAATGTTTGGACCGATATTTAACAGGACATTCCTGTTGGAAGCCTACGATTTGCAGCAAAAAGTATTGTCAATTGTTAGCCGCGATGAAGAAACCAATGAATCGATTAGTCTGTCGGACATATGCTATAAGCCGATGGGCGCCGATTGTGCCGTACAGTCGATATTTACCTACTATTTGGACGATCGGCGACAATTGATGACCGACGAGTACTACAAGAAACTGGCCTATTGTTCCCAAAGTCCTACCTATACGGATGATAGTCAACCGGAAAAGTCGTGTTTCAAACCCAACGGTATACCACTGGTCTATCCGGGTGTAGCGTTGGGCGGTTTCCCYGGKGATCGGTATACTGAGGCTACGGCACTGATCATAACGATACCGGTGCGCAACTATAACAATCCGAAAGACAACCGTCAGGCTATTATTTGGGAAAAACAGTTTCTGGAAGTAGTGGCCAATCATACGTCCGATTTGATGACCATTGCCTTCAAAGCCGAACGATCTATTGAGGATGAACTGGACAGGCAATCCCGTAGCGATATAGTTACCGTTGCGGTCAGCTATTTGATTATGTTTATCTATATACTCCTGGCACTGGGCGATCTCAACAAATGTTCGACAGTACTAATGGACGCCCGATTTTCTCTGGGATTTGTCGGCGTAACTGTTGTCCTRYTATCGGTATTTGCTTCGCTCGGCTTTTTCTTCTACTTCTCAATTCCGGCCACACTTATCATTGCCGAAGTCATACCGTTTCTGGTATTGGCCGTCGGTGTCGACAATATATTCATATTGGTTCAAAGTTTTCAAGTAAGTCATCTGATTGATTGATGATAGCACCGGTAGTTTTTAAAAAATATTTATTTATTTTACTCCTAATTATTATAGCGAGACGAGCGACGACCCGACGAAGAACTGGTCGACCAAATTGGCCGTGTAGTCGGCGAAGTGGCGCCCAGTATGATGTTGTCGTCACTGTCGATGTCCGCTTGTTTTTTTATCGGTACACTCACGACAATGCCGGCCGTACGGATGTTTGCCCTGTACGCTGCCGTAGCCCTTATAATCAACTTTTTCCTACAAATGACCTGTTTTCTCGGCCTGTTCACACTGGACACCAAACGCCAATTGGATAACCGATTGGATATACTCTGGTGTGTGAAAGGGGCAAAAAAATCGGAAAAACATCCGTCAATTGGCGGCAAAGAAGGACTATTGTATACATTCTTTCGCGATATCTATTCGCCATTCCTGATGAAAGACAACGTCCGTATTGTCGTACTGTTGGGTTTCGGTGCCTGGCTTTGTACCAGTATTGCCGTACTGGACAAACTACACATTGGCCTCGAACAGGAACTGTCGATGCCCGAAGACTCCTATATGATTGACTATTTTAATTTCTATCAAAAATATTTTGTGGTCGGACCGCCCGTCTATTTTATGATTACCGAAGGCTACGATTATACCCGAAACGATACACAAAACGCCATGTGCTCACTAAACGATTGTGATAGAGATTCGTTGCCCGCACTACTGGCCTATATGGCCGACAATTCAAATTTGTATGACTATTATCTTCGCCGTACCCTTGAATTGCTATAAATTATTGATTATTAATTTGTTTTGTTTTGTTGTTTTAAAAGGACATACATCCAAACAAAACCGGTTCCCTGGGTGGACAGCTATCTGGAATACCTGTCCAGTTCCGAGTGTTGCTATAAAGATCGGACAAACAAAAAGAAATGCCGTAAAGGTTTGTGTTGTTTCTGCCCCCACCCCCGTAGAAATCACATATTTATATATATATATATATACCTACCGGTGCTTATTGTATATCTATATTTGTTTTTGTTTTTTTTTTGTTTAAAAAAAAAGGTGATCCCGGCTGTGATATTTGTTGGGACATTAGCGCTAACGGCCGTCCATTTGGTTCAAACTTTACCGAAAATCTCAACTTTTTCTTACATCAATCGCCTGATTTCAAGTGTCCTAAAGGAGGTTTGGGCCAATACGACGATGCCGTACGACTATACGATGAGGGAGGCATTAAATGTATGTTTGTTTTTTTATTATTATATAAATAAAAAATAATATCAATATATTTTTAATATTTAATTTTTAATTTAATTATATGTGAAATTCAATTATCGCTACACATATACAATCAAATTATAATTATATATATATATATTTTTGTTGTTTAAAAATAATAATCATTCAATAAATAAATAAATATATATATATATATATATATATAATATAATATATAATATACCGTATAAACCCGCAAATAGCCCCCCATATATGGGGTATGTGGAAAAATAAGTGAAAAATAGCCCCCCACCAATTTTATCACAAATAGCCCCACTATTGAAAATATTGTAGTTTTTTTATATGTGTATATACCCCCCATGCCATCTATTGACCGGTCAGTGTAAAGTCTAAACTAAAACTATTAATTATAATAAATAAATTTTAAAATAAAATATTTTTATGCTATTATACTGTATTTAAATATAATATATATTATACATATTTTTTTATTTATTAGACCGATTTTATATATAACCCTTCCCCCAATCGTTCATTCCCCCACGACTTCACATATAGCCCCAGTAGGGGGGCTATATGTGAAAAATAGCCCCCTACCAAATGTTGATTTTAAAATTTTTATATATTATACGGTAGTTTAACAATATTTATGACAATTAGAAATAATTAATTTTTTAAAATAATTATTATTTCATCAATTAATTTTAATTATCACTGTACTGTATATAATTTATATATTATTATTTAGTAGGCAATAATGTTTTAGTATTAGTATCGAGGTCATAAACTTTATCAATAGACGTATATAATTATTATGCTAGTTTTATTTAATATTTAATTTTTTTTTTAATATACAGTATATAATTAATGTTTAATTATTATTTTTTCATTTTCATTACAACAATCAATAGATTATTGCAATACTTATTATTATTATTGTTATCCAATTATTATTAAAAAAATATATTAAATATTTTCATAAAATTATAATAAAATTATAATACTATTATTCAGCAAAAAAAATAATAATAATAAATAATAAATAAATAAATAGTTTAATATGTTAATAGTTAACTATTAATTAATAATTAGAAAAAAAACATTGATCTTTATTTTATTTTTTAATTAGTTAACTAATTTTTTTTCTCAATAATTAATTAATTAATTAATCAATTAATTAGTAAAAGTTATTAACCATTTAATTAATATTTTTTACATCAAATCCATAGCTACTTATCTGATGTCATATCGGACAACATTGAAGACATCGGAAGATTTCTATGAATCTCTACGCTATTCCCGTATAATTGCCGACATATTGACCGATAAATTACGTAATATTTCCGGTAATACCGATGCACTGGTCAGGCCCTACTCGTTTCCCGATGTTTTCTACGAACAATATCTGACAATGTGGACGGATACCATTAAATCGTTGAGCATATCCATTGGTGCCATATTTATCGTAACCTACCTGTTCCTCGGTTTGGACATCTATTCGGCACTGATTGTAGCCGTTACCATACTGATGATTATTATCGATTTGATGGCAATGATGAGATGGTGGGACATCAGTCTCAATGCCGTATCACTGGTCAATCTAGTTGTGGTCAGTATTTTCTCTCAGTGTGTGTGTGTGTGTGTGTGTTAGTGGAGGTGTGCGTGGGTGGGTGTGTGTGTGTGTTGTATATGTATACTCTATATGTTTATCTATATGTAAAGTTGTGTATGTATGTATGCGTGTATATATATATATAGATATATGCATGTATTTGTGTGTGTGTTAGTGGAGGTGTGGTTGGATGAGTGGGTGTTTTGTAGGTACTCTATATGTTTATATCTATATGTAATTTTGTGTATGTATGTATGTATGTATGTATGTATGTATGTATGTATGTATGTATGTATGTATGTATGTATGTATGTATGTATGTATGTATGTATGTATGTATGTATGTATGTATGTATGTATGTATGTATGTATGTATGTATGTATGTATGTATGTATGTATGTATGTATGTATGTATGTATGTATGTATGTATGTATGTGTGTATGTGTGTATGTATGTGTGTGTGTGTGTGTATTAATATGTGTGTGTGTGTGTATTAATATGTGTGCGTGTAAGTGATTATGTAATAGAAAATCAATTTATTATTTTCATATAAACAATACAACAACTGTATGTATTGTACAATATATTTATCGATATATTAATTATTAATAAGTGTATAACTAATTTATTATTAGTATAATTATTTTTTTGACTGTATATTAAATATATTGTCATTTTTTTATTTTCATTTTCAAAGGGCGTCGGCATATCAGTTGAATTTTGCTCACATTTAGTCCGCTGTTATGCCATATGCTCGGCACCGACACGCGTACTACGGGCTAAAGAGTCGTTGGCCAAAATGGGAACTTCGGTACTGTATATATATATATAACAACAAAAAAATTGATTGATTTTATTGATTGAATTATTTAATAATAATGTTTTTTCTTTTCTTTTTCATTGTTTGTTTGTTAATCTCAACCTCACGCACACACACACACACACACCCACCCACTCCTACCCAACCCAACCCAACAACAATAGATACTATCGGGAATCACGTTAACCGATTGCGGTATACTAGTGCTGGCCTTTGCCAAGTCCAAGATATTTCGGGTTTTCTATTTTCGTATGTACCTGGGCATAATTGCTTTCGGTACTCTGCACAGCCTAATTTTTCTACCGGTGCTCCTATCGGTAATCGGACCGCCCCTTAACAAACAGCGACTATTGTTTGCCACCTATGGCGGCGGTTCACCGTTGACTACACCCGACTCGGCCGGGCGGCAGTCGGTAAATGCACCGACATTTGCTACCGCCTACAACAATATCAACAAAAAGTTTAGCTCCAGTAGTAGTGGAGGTGGACAGGGAGGTGATAACAATGATGATGAAATCTCCGGTTAATTAACTTATTAATAATACAGTAATAATAATAATAATAATATTGATTTTAGTCAGTCATCAACAAAAAAATGTATTGTTTTATTTAATTTATTATTTTTTTTTGTAGAAAAATAAAACAATACTAACTAACCCTAACATTAAAATTAACACTAAAGTGGATTTATAATAATAATAATAATAATWATTATTATTATTATTATCGATGATATTAAACAAACAAAAAAAAACAAATTAGGCAAACAAAGTGGATTTGTTTTTATATTATAATAATGATATATATATGTATATATATTTAAAAAAATATATATATATATATAATATATATATATAAATATAAGTATTTACTATATATTTATATTTATTATTATTATTTTTAAATATATTTATAATTGTTTCTCTCTCTCTCTCTCTCTCTATAACTATCTCTATATTTTGTGCTCTCAATATATATATATATATATATATATATTAAAAATTAAATATAATATATATATATATATATATATAAATATCAATATAAATATAATTGCGCCTAAATGTGATAGATTTTAATTATTGTACACAACAAACAAACAAAAAACATTTGCATTTCTCATATATATATATTTGTCATATATTATATAATTGTTTTTTTTCAATTCAAATGCAATGTTTATTATTATTATACTAATTATTATTATTACTAAATGTATAAACATTTTTTTTTGATGAAAGCTTTGTCTCAACAACAAAAATATAACTACTTTTTTGTGGATATTATTTATTTAACAACAAAAAATGTATATTATATTAACTATTATATATTTATTATTATTATTATTATTATTAATGTTAATTATAATTATAATGCATCAAACATGACATCAGTATATATATATATATATATAGTAATAGTTTTTTTTTGTTTAATTTTTTTAGTATTTAAAAAATGTTTTTGAAAAAAATTGTTGCATTTAGTTACCAGTAATTKATTACAATTTTTTTTTTGATTATAGATTTATAAAATAGATATTCAAAACTCATTTTCAAACAACAAACAAACAAAAATCTCACAAAAAATATTATTATTATTTATATTATTTAAATTATTATTGATTTTGTTGTTAAAAAAATAATTAGTTTTATTATTATTATTATAATTATGATAATTGTTAACATTATATATATATATATAAATATTACTGTAATATAAAAATTGTTTGTTTGTTTTTTTGAGGCTAGCAAACAATTAGATTATTATTATTATTATTGTTAAAAAATAATTAATCAATTAATCAAATTAATTAGCTATATATTGAAAGATGAGCCATAAATTAAGTTTATTATTATTATTATTATTAATTGTTTATAATTATTACACACACAACAAAAATATAATAATTGTTTTTTTATCATCAATTTTTAACAACAAAAATGTATATGCATTTCATTCGTCCGCAATAATGATAATAATAATAATAATTATGAGAAAATAAATAAATATATAACAGATTACATATATATATATATATTTAATTAATTAATACAACAACAAAAAATTGGTATTTATTTGTTAGTTTATTTAAATTTAATAATTAATTATGTATTAATTATTATTATTACTATTACTACTATTGTTAAAAAAAGTCATTTTATTAATTTTTAATTGAATTATTTCTATAAATAATTATTATATTTGTGAAAAATCAAATCAAAAAAAATTATTTTCAATTAATATATTGTTAAAATAATTAATTAATTAATTCAATTAAAAACATGAAAATTGTTTTATTATTTATATAAATAAATATATATATATATATATTTAAAAAAAAGTATATAAATGTGTTTTTAAAATAAATAAAAATATTTTTAATTTTGATTTTGTATTGTTGTTATTGATGTTGAATTTATTTCTCTACTATACACTGGTATTGAAAAATGTTTATTTTATATATATATAAATTGATCATGGTACAATTGGAAAATTAATAATAATAATAATAATAATAAATTCTAGTTAATTATTAATATAATACATTGCATAACAAATCGGATAATAAAAAACCTATTTGTTGTACAAACACACACATCATTAAAAAAATATATATTGAGATTAAAAAAAATAAAATTATAAAATTTGATATAAAATACTATTCTTTTTAAAAATAAAAATAAAAAGCAAAATATAATAATAAATAAATGCAAAAAATATTTTTATTTGACATTTCATTATAACACAAAAAATTATTAAATATATTTTTTGCTGTAATACTATACATACTGTATGTAAATTTAGTTTTTACTGTAAATACTAATAATACAGTAATAATAATTTAAATTTATTTTTAACTCATAATTTTATGAATAATAAATCATATTAACTGTGATTTACAAAAAATGTATACTAAATATATAAATATATATATAAATTTAATTACCGTAAATCAATGATTAGTATGCTATATAAAAAACATTATATATAAATAAATTATATATTATATGTAATATGAGATACACTTTATCGGTAATTATATATATACAGTATATAATTTAATATATGCAAAATAATATATTTATATATATAATTGACATTAATTTTTTTTAAAAATCTATGATATTACTTAATAAAAAATTTGTAGGCTTAACTTAATTGTTTTTACTAAATTAAAAAATTAAATATATTTATATATATCTTAATAACTTATATATTTAATGGAAAAATTTTAAATGTTAAAATATAATCTAAAAAAATTTCTAGTTATATGATTTAGTCATGTATTTTGTTTTAATTTTAAATGTCAATTACATTACACACACACATACACACACACACACTGTATATTTGTATCAAAAATAAAATTTAAATACAATTCAATATTAAAATTAATTGATTTAATAATCAATAATCCGTATAATAAATTGGAAAATAATAAATTTGTTTAATAATATATTGTTGTTAATGTTATTTGGATATATTGGATAACAACAACAACAATACCCTTGAATATATATATATAAACTTTATATATATATATATTATATTTATTTATTCAAATATATACAGCAATATATATATATATATATATATATACTGTATATAATCGTATATAATATAATAAAATAAAATAAAACAAAATGTTTTTTAAAAACAAGTCATGCATTTTTTGGATTTTATAACTGGAAGTATAAACTTAAGTATATATACATATTATATATATATATATTCCTAATATTATATACTCTATTGTGTTATATATATATAATTGAATGCAATTTTTCAATCTCTGTTTACTACAACTACTACTACTACTACTACTACTAAAGTAAAGTACAGTATTATAGTAATGAACTATAAATTTATATATATATATATAAGCCTTTAAGCACTTTAATTAATGTTCAATCTATTTGTTTGAATATATTTTATACTAATAATTAGAGTTTAATAATAATACTAATAATAATAATAATAATATACTGTTTAATAATTACTAATAAATTAAATGCCTAATTAGGTGTTTCTATAGATATATTAATTAATATATATATATATATATATATATATAAATAAATAAATATATTGATATAGTAAATAAAAAATACTAATAATTATTATTTAGATAAAAAACCTACTAATTATTATTAATATTATTTTTTATTATTATCACTAGATTTACTAATCAATAGATACAATAATAATAATAATTGTTGTTTTTTAAAAATAATAATTAGTAGTATTTATTTATATATATTTTATCTAAACTATATATATATATATTAATATTTTTATATAATTTTAATATATTATCAATTGTTATTTTTATAAAAAAAATACATGTAAAAAAATAACATGAGTGTTATAGGTATTTATTTTTTTTTCATTGAATAAAATAAGATTAGCATGCTTAGTTAGTTTTTATTTTTAAAAATAAATTTTAAACATCTAATTTAGGTTTTTTTAAAAAAAAAAATTCACAATATATATATATATTATATGACATCCTTATTTATTAAATATTTAAATCAGCTTATGCAAACATACAATGTAATCATCATATATATATATATATATATTTATATATTAGTATATATTATATATATATATATATATATATATATATATGAAAATTGCTAATTTTTCAATGTTGTTTTAATATTAGGAATTTATTTACTAAAAATTTATTTTATTATTTTTTGTTTAACTAAAATCTAATTGATTAAAAACATACAAAACATTTTTGTATGTTTATGTTGTTTTTGTATATAAAATGATTTTATAAATAAATAATTTAATGATTAAAATTTATTTTAATAATAATAATAATAATAATAGAAAAGCAAACAAATCAAGAGAGAGAGAGAGAGAGAGAGAGAGAGAGAGAATGAAAAGCTTAAACAAATTTTTAGTAAATATTTATTATTAATTAATTAATTGATTATTATTATTATCATTAATTAGCATAAAAATATTTGTTTACTAAAAAAAACAAAAATATTTAACTAATTAATCTAAACTTTGTGTGTGAAAAATAATATATTATAGTTATTTTAATATAATTAAGTTATTTTAAAATAAAAATGTTATTTAATAAGTATTTTGTTGTTGTTGATAAATATTTGACAATATTTTTGTTATTATTATTATTATTATTATTATTATATTATTTGATAAATATTTGACAATATTTTTGTTATTATTATTAGTATTATTATATTATTTAGTAAATAACATAATTTTTATTATAGATAAATATTTTAATTAAATAATTAATTATACTATAGTTTAATATTTTATTTATAATATATAATTATTTTATTAATATTAAATTATATATATATATATATTAATATATATACTGTAGTGAACTATGAATAAAAATGATATAATTAAAAATTACTAATAATTTATGTGTAAAAATTTATCAAGTTTAAAATTATAATGTTATTTTTTATAATAATTAACTAGGTGTTATTTGCAAGTGTTTTTATTATTTAATTTTAATATGAAATTATTACTAATTTTTTTTTATTAAAGTAAAGTAATAATTGTGATTATTTTAAAATTAGTTTTTTAATAATAATAATAATAATTAGTTTT